CTGAATCACTACAATAAAAGTTTTTATTATTTTTATTTTTATAATACATAATATTATAATTTATGTTTTTATTCATTTTGTAAATAACGTATTTATCTCCATTGCAATTTAATTTAAAAGTTTAATTTGCTCTCTTGTCTTCAGTGTGTTTGATAAATATAATGAAGTCCAGCAACTCCAGTGAACTTTATGTGTGTTTGAACCCAGCAGACATGTGGGTCAGGGTTTGGTCCTCACGTCTGAAAGAGGCAATATCTGGTTTTTATAGTGTGTGAACTCAGACCTTGAAGGTTTCACCAACTATCACCCTCCCAAATGCGGCTTTAGATTGAAGGGAGACTTGAAACGCTTGCAATCATAAAACTATGTGACTCTAAAACACACACTATAAAGCCCAAACCACACAAACCAAGAGGGGGGAGAAAAATGTACTTCTACATTTGGCCACAAAAACAGCACTGTCTAATACAGAACAAAACTTTCAACATTTCTGTCCTGTGATCCCAGAGCTGGACCTCCTACACACTGAAGGCTAGCACAGGGTCGAGGGCTGGGCTGGGCTGGGCTGGTCTTCCGTAACACACCCAAAACTGCTGACACGGTAACTATTCACATACTTCTACTAACTTTAAAAAAGTACATACTGTGCATTCAAAGGAAAAGCTCATGCTTTTAAATATGAAGTAAAATGATGTATTGATACAAGTTTGCAAAAAGACTCCATCTATGCATTATGCATGCTTCAAACCTATTTCAGCATACAGACTTGGAATACACTAATTCTAATATTGAATACTACATAAGATTGGTAGTAAGTAAAAATATGCATACTTTGAAGTATGTAGTATGCTATCTGGACACCTTTGACCATTTCCTATGATTTGGGACATGCCAATCTTTATCTTGCATAGTGTATAAGATGGATAGTATGGAAAAAGAAACATATATGCAGCATCGACATCCTATTTTCAACACTGAGATGCACTAATATTATTTACATGCTATAAAAGACATTTACTATGACTTGGAATACACTAATTCTAATATTGAATACTACATAAGATTGATAGTAAGTAAAAATATGCATACTTTGAAGTATGTAGTATGCTATCTGGACACCTTTGACCATTTCCTATGATTTGGGACATGCCAATCTTTATCTTGCATAGTGTATAAGATGGATAGTATGGAAAAAGAAACATATATGCAGCATCGACATACTATTTTCAACACTGAGATGCACTAATATTATTTACATGCTATAAAAGACATTGTGTGTGAACAAATGCACACTTCAAAACTTTGTCAACACTGATACAATAGACACTATGCAAAATGACAAATACTTCAAAAACCCACTGTAAATTGTACCACCCATGCACACATATTCAACATACTATTTTTTTGAGAGGTGCACTCATATTAATATTTCATGTTGTGTAAGATAGATAGCATGTGAATGGATGCATCCCTGCATACTATGTTATCCAGTCATTATATTGACATAGTATGCCTTAATCTAGCATACTATTTAATATGGAGAGCATGAGACTGATGCATACTTATAAATCCATTGTAAATACTACACAATCCAGTCACTGTGACATACCATTTTAAAAACATTTTTGAAAAACATGATTTGATATGCACTAACTTTAATATTGCATGCTATATCAGTCACTACTGACATACTAATTTCAATATACTATGATTTAGGTAGTTTACTTTGAATCTTGTATACAGTTTAATATGGAGAACATGAGACTGATGCAAACTTTAAAAAAATCAATTGTAAATATGCAATCCAGTCACTTTTGACATACGAGTTTAGTAACTCTAATCTTAATATTGCATACTATATAACAGAGATAGTATGTAAACAGATGTAAACATACTTGCATACTACTGCAGCCAGTCACTACTGACATACTATTTTCAGCATACTATGATTTAGGTAGTTTACTCTTAATCTTGCATACAATTTAATATGGAGAGCATGAGACTGGTGCATACTTATAAAATCCATTTTAAATACCATGCAATTCAGTCACTTTTGACATACTATGATATTAGAGGCACTAATTTTAATATTGCATTCTATATTAGAGAGATAGTATGTAAACAGATGCATACTTGCATACTATGGCAAGCCAGTCACTATTTACATACTATTTTCTGCATACTAAGATTTAGGAAGTTAACTCTTAACCATGCATACTATTTAATACGAAGAGAATGAAACTCATTCATACTTTAAAAAATCCATCTTAAATAATATGCCATTCAGCTAGGAGTGATTTGGAGTGTACTAATCTTAATCTTGCACACTAGTTAGTATGCAAAAGGGGATTCTGGGGGTTCGTTTAGGCGGGAACCCCTTCATCCTCTTCCTGTTGGAACTGGACTGGTACCTTTTAATAGCCACAGGGAGATGCTGCTTGTTCTGTTAATGGGAGCCATGGAGCCAAAGGCAACACGAACCTGATTTCTCCACAATGTTAAAGGAACACTCCACTATTTTCGAAAATAGGCTCCTTTTCCAACTCCCCTAGAGTTAAACAGTTGAGTTTTACCGTTTTCGAATCCATTCAGCCGATCTCCAGGTCTGGCGGTAGCCGATATGGCTAGGAACTATACTCTCATTCCGGCGTAATAATCAAGGAGCTTTGCTGCGTACCATGGGTGCAGCAGGCGCAATGATATTACGCAGCGCCTGAAAATAGTCCCCAGCACGCTCCCTGTGAAAGCAGGTGGTCACGTTGGTTATGTTGACGGAAGTTAGCCTTTTTCAGGCGCTGCGTAATATCAATCAACTTTTCATTTTCCGTCGGTCTTAGTACACGATGTAACTACAGAAGAGTCCAGTTTTAAATAGGAAAAATATAGAAACTCTTTGGTCATTTTTGAGCGAGATGCTAACGGTCTAATCAGATTCAATGATCTATGCTAAGCTAAGCTAAAAGTGCTACAGCCAGACCCGGAGATCGGCTGAATGGATTCGAAAACGGTAAAACTCAACTGTTTAACTCTAGGGGAGTTGGAAAAAGAGCCTATTTTCAAAAATAGTGGAGTGTTCCTTTAATATTCCTCTCTACGATTCTCACTGAATCAAACTCTGAATGAAGAATCGGGACGGCTGAAATGGACAGCTTGCTCTCATTACACGACAAACATTTTTGAAAGGCTCCAGGGTGTGAAAATTTGGCTCCAAACGTTCCAGAGTTTCTCCTCTCACGGTTTTAAGGGTCTGCAGAACACAACAACAAGAGTAACCAAAACCAGAGACAACACACATGGGCAATAAACAATCGTTACAACATGCCATTTGTTAAAAAGAATTAATTTACTCTCAAAAGTGAAGCACACACCCAGCAGGCTGAATGAGTGAGGCCAGTCCGCTGAGAGTGTTCGTAAAACTCTCATAAAACAGCACTAGTGTGGGTAATAAAGCAGAATGGCCCTGCACAGGAAGTGCAGCAGCATCCCCATCAGCCATTTTTGACTTTACAAGCTTACTGTGACGTAACAGGGCTGCTGTATCCCACAACGCACCGCTAGTCCCACCATAAACTCAGCACATCATTCTGTACCTACAGATGCCATTCGGTTAGTCCCGCCCACTGCATGACATCACTGTCAGACCACATGTCGTGGAAGCAGTGAGTGTTGCTGTGCATCCCTGCCAGTCTGGCTGCGGATCAAGTCCACCATCTTTTCTGCATTATCCCGCTACACGTGTGCTCTAAATAAAATTGGAAGCATTCAGAAATTAAGTGCACTACATAGAGATCACAGCTGTATTTATAACAGCCCAAAGCATGCTAGATTGTGAAGCAAACTAAACAACTAATACATTTCAGTCTGATGTGACTAACACGCGGCGACTCCACCCTGACCCACTGATGTTCTTCATTACAGATCATCCACCAGGAGCCAAGACTTAAGACTAACGAGCATTTATTTACATGTATCTATCTGTTTTTCACTAAACAGAGAGCCAGAGTGATTGGTTCGTTTTATGAGCCTATGGAAAAACATAAACCTCTCTCGGTCTCTCTCTCTCTCTTTCTCTCCTGGTGTGTTTCTCATCCTGTATATTTTTCCAATTACGTTCAGCAGTCAGCGCGCCTGCTGGAGGAAAACTACTTTCTGCCAGATCCCCTAAAAAGCACGTGAAACATCTTCCAAAATGTCTACAAATCCCGATCTAGGTTGCGCGTGGTTTTTGTTCACACATCCCACAGAGTCTGAAACCAAAACCGGTCCTGATGTCATACAACCCTAAAGATCAAGGTTCCTTGAAGTCTTTGAGATTCAGCAAAGGATCATTTGGCTGTGTAGAGTTCAGGTTCTTCAGATTCTGGGTTCTGGTGGAGCATCACTACATAAATGGCTTTCTAAAGGAACTTCAGAAGGTTCTCCTGTGACATTGATTCTAACTCAAAAGTTTAAAAGTTCCACCCATGACTTTTTCATCTCTACTTCTAGAAAACGAAACCATCTATGATGCTTTGCAGATGCCAAAACCAATACCATGAAGTGAAGAACTTATAATGCAATATCAAGAACCCTAGTAAACAGTCGCATAGAACAACTGAGGGACCATTTTTAGATTTGCATATGAAATCCTGGAATCCGGATTTCTACTATGACGGTTTTATTTACTAATGTGCATTAGAATAGTGAGTGTTACACCAACTTGGAGCAGCGTAAACCAGTTGCATGCCACAATAGATGCATCACGATCTCCTCGCGCAGCTGTTGCATTGAACGGGAAAACGTCCCCGATTCCGTTATTCGCCGCTGCTCTAATGTTTCCCTGCAAAAACGGAACATCGGACCTCCCTAGTTGGAAAAATCTCACTCTAGGGCTCCTACCATCCCCTCCTGCGGTCACTGCAGTCCAGGGACAGCGGACTGATCGTGGAGAAGCGCAGCCCCTGATGAGCGCGGCCCGCGGCACAAAGTAACAGTTTGGAAACAGTTGATTCGCCGCTTACCTGCGCTGACTCGTGAGGTGACAAACATCAGGAATACTAGGAGTACCGACAGCCGCACCTCCTTAAACCTCCGCTTTACTTTCCATCTGATAGGTGTATCCATGACCACCTGCGCCCGTCCTGACGCGAAGAGTTCGGTTATATTATTATGACAACTGCTTAAAATCAGGACAGAACCAGTAACCCAACAGTCCTGGAGAGAGAAAGCGCGACAGCTCAAAGCCTCTCATGCAGCCATACGTTAATAAAGTCCTGCGGGAACATTCAGTGGATGGATAGATGGATGGATGGGGCACCTCTCTCCCTTCTTTTCCCCTCTGTTCTTTCCTTCCCTTCAGTGCGCTGCAGTGATGCCCCCGTCACTGAAACTTCGCGGAGCCAAAGTGGGAAAAAACTTCATTCACACGGACTGTCAGTCATGCGGCGAGCGGCCAATCGGAGAGCAGCGCCGACAATGCGCGGCTTCTTATTGGTTAGTGCTGTGGGTAGGCGGGAAGTTTACAGTGTGGGACTTAATTTACTCTCTCTCTCTCTCTCTCTCTCTCTTTGTCTGCAAGAATTAAGTCCATTGCAGTCTGTCTTTTAGTATTTTTTTGACTCATCTAATATGATGGGTGTAGCAGCAGAAAACCTTTAGGGCAATTTTCCAGTTAAAGGACCTTTGTTAATATAATGTCCTAAATAAATAATGCAGATAAAAGCAGTTCTTTATGTGTCTGGCATCAAAAAGGCTGAACATATATCAATTAAAATGGATTTTGCATCACCCAGAAGGGGTTTATTTTTACAATAATGATCATCTGATTGCTTGCAACATGCCTGCTTACTAAAATAAATGAGTAAATGCACCTGAAATATGAAAGTGACCTGACGTGACATGTGGCCAAGTATGGTGACCCATACTCAGAATTAGTGCTCTGCATTTAACCATCCAAAGTGCACACACACAGCAGTGAACACACACACACCGTGAACACACACCCGGAGCAGTGGGCAGCCATTTATGGATTTTGCATCACCCAGAAGGGGTTTATTTTTACAATAATGATCATCTGATTGCTTGCAACATGCCTGCTTACTAAAATAAATGAGTAAATGCACCTGAAATATGAAAGTGAAAGTGACGTGACATGTGGCCAAGTATGCTGACCCATAGTCGGAATTAGTGCTCTGCATTTAACCCATCCAAAGTGCACACACACAGCAGTGAACACACACACACCGTGAACACACACCCGGAGCAGTGGGCAGCCATTTATGCTGCAGCGCCCGGGGAGCAGTTGGGGGTTCAGTGCCTTGCTCAAGGGCACCTCAGTCGTGGTATTGAAGGTGGAAGAGAGCCCTGTACACTGTAAAAAATGGCCGTGAATTTAACGGTAAAAGACTGTAAAAATGCTACAGTAAAAACCTGTTAAATGGTTAACGGTAAATTCCCCTACTATATATGGTGAAAAACTGTATTGGACATTACATGTATTGGACAGTAATTTTACGGTAGTATACCATTTTTGGAAGTGAAAAAAACATATAATTTACAGTGAATAACCGTAAATTGACATTCCCAGAATTCCCTGCGTTACATTTCAAATTTGATGTTTTTTTGTTGAAATAACTATGTTTCTTCTTAGTTTTTTTCTTATCAGTTTTGTATATTAGGGTTGTGTGTTACACCTAATGTTGTTAAATGAATGTTTATTGCATTATTTCAGTTTCATGTGTGTTACCATGATGGTGTTCGGTGTTTGTGGTAGTATACCGTTTTTGGAAGTGAATAAGACTGTATAATTTACAGTGAATAACCGTGAATTGACATTCCCAGAACTCCCTGCATTACATTTCAAATTTGATGTTTTTTTGTTGAAATAACTATGTTTCTTCTTAGTTTTTTTCTTATCAGTTTTGTATATTAGGGTTGTGTGTTACACCTAATGTTGTTAAATGAATGTTTATTGCATTATTTCAGTGTCATGTGTGTTACCATGATGGTGTTTAGTGTTTGTGTGAATGACACTGTGCACCTTCTATATATGATATTATTTAAAAACTGCTTGTGATGGGCTTTGCTTCATCATGTGACTTTCTCATCACCTCCTGCAGTTGGTGGATATCAGTGAATTACAAAGATACAAAACAGATTTCAGTACTTCAATAGGTTGGTATATTAACATTATATCAGTTAATGAAATTACGGTATTTAACT